CGCTACTCCGAGTTCCCACGAAATAATTCTTTCGCCCCGGTCGAAATCGCGGAACGAAATCGTCGCGTGCAAACTGCCCACCTCTCCACGTTTATTCCTCTCCCCTCCGTCTCCGAAAAAAATTTCCACCACGCTTCCGATCCAATTAAATTTCGTTCGATCGCCGGGACAACGCGCTACTTTGCTACCCTCTCCGAGCTATCAAAGGATATTTAAATTATCGGATATATAAACGGAGAGGAGGAAAGCCGATACGTTCGGACGGAAAAGGGGAGAAAAAGAAGGGGAAAAAACTCGTGCTACGTTTGAGCCACGATTATATCGCGATTATATCGCGATCCTAATTAGCGTTTAACCTGTTTCCGAGCTGGGATTTCCTCTGGCGAGGCGGTAAACCACCGTCGGCGATGGAAAGAAATTCTTTCGTACGGTTAACGAACAGCCAGCTCGGAGGCGCGGAACGGTCAATATTGACTCTTTTCGAAGTAAAAGAATCACCGACCAACAGGATTTCCAGCCTTCGAACAAGAGACTCCTTTTGTTGTCCCCGGGGGACGTTTTATTTCCCGTCTCTTCCACCGGTTGCTTCTTCCTTCTTCTTCTCCTCCTCCTCCTACCCGTAGTTCGATTCCGTACTTTTAAACGGTGCATCGACGCGAAATTCGAGAATCAAGACGAGAATCTTATTTCTCTCTCTCTCTCTCTCTGCTAAGAAATTCGTTAACGCAGCCAACGGTCGTCCAACTGACCGTTGCGTTTCACGAGATAATGGTTGCCCATCCGATGGAATACCAGCCCCTCTCCCGGATTTTCTTTCCATCTTTCTGAAAATGGATATCGCTGCAATTTAACGATAGAAGAAGATGACTCTTTCCGATATCGATATTAATTCCTCCCCATACCACTTACTTTCTCCCTCCTCGAAACCCGAGCCATCTCGAGAAATTTCCACGAAGCGCGAAAGCTCGAGAAACGAAAAGGTGGAATCGTCCTTATCGCCCTTCGTGGGCGAATTAGAACGAGTTGGAAGAGCGAGAACGCGTTCTTTCACTCGTTCTTGGACGATAGGATAGATATTTCACCCGATCCGATGAAAAAGCGGTCCGGCTTTAATTAGGGATTAATCGGAAGCATAAATTAACTGCGAGTTTTCGGCCAACTCCGGCTTTTTCCCCCCTTCCCTCGGTGGAAAGGATCGCTTTCGACGACCATACCATCCCCAACTATTCCAGCAATCAAACTTTCTCGCGGTCGCGTCACAAGTTTCCCGTTTCAGATCGGGACCCCTCCTCGCCCGCCCCGTCTTTTTCGATCCGTCCCACCGATTTCTAGTGGCTCCCCCTTTCCAGCTCCAACCAACCTGTAGCTTCTCGAAAGAATTGGCCGTGCACGCGTATACATAGATCCGATAAGGGGACCGACTCACGGCCATTGTCCGATCGAACGAGGAGTGCGGTGGACAAACACGGTATCGCGATTCCGCCTCGAAGAATTGCTCGGACGAGGAATTCGAGGCATCCTCGATAATAGAAAACGATAAAGGAAGGGAGAAGAGGAAGAAGAGGAACGCGTTGAATCGGTTTCAGGGTTATCGCGGGATAACGCGGCATTTAACAATGGATGAAAGGAGGGGGGAGGAGGAGATGAAAAGGACGGAGAGAGAGTTGTTCGGGGAGCCGCCACGGCACGCGCGCGTCTCTTATCCGAGAGTCGATGATATTCGCCCCGTGTGCCACCATTTTCTCCATTCAACCCGCTAACCAAACCTCCCGTCCGCGGAGTGGTTTTACGATTTCATGCTCCATTTCGCCCGATTCGTCCATCTTCCCCACGTCTTCCTTCCTTTCGTTTCTCATTCTCCTCCTTCCATATTTTCGCGATATTTACGAAAATATCTATCCCGTTTCGATTCAATCGAACAGAGATCATTCGCTCGACATTTTCAACTTCTCGAAGAGATCGAGGCGACGTCGCGCCAGGAATCGAGATAAAATAAAGAAAGAATTGGGAAAGTTTCCGAGAAAAGGCGATTCGTCTGCTCGCCGTATCCGCCGATTCGCGTATCTCTCGCGGCGGAGATCGACGGAGATCGTTGGGCCGCGCTTCCCGCGAAGGAAGGAAATCCCGAGACAAAGGACGAACGTCTCCGTTTTCCTTTCCCCTCTCCCTTCGTTTCATCCAATCCTCGGCTCTCGTCGGAAAACCGACGAGTGTTTGCGATGTCGTCGCATCCGTTTCGAGTCCGAACACGCAACACCCGGATAAATATGAAATTCCATCGACGAAACACGCTCTCTCTCTCTCTTTCTCTCTCTCGAGGGGAAGGAAGGAAGGAGCCGCGCGACAGCGGTGGTGGCTTTGCATTCTCGTACAAGGGAGGGGAAAAATCCCCTGGTTTACCAAGAATCGAGCGGGAGGAATGGCGATCGAGGTGGAGCACGAGAGAGAGAGAGAGAGAGAGAGGAAAGGAATCTCGACTCCTCGCCTCGCGTTTCGAACTTTGCATTCGCGTGGCGCGCGATCGATCGTCGGAACGTATTTCGATTCGAGACGTATCGTTTAATTCCTCCCCCCTCCTATTTTTCCGTTCGTCCCGTATTGGCGTTCGTTGGCGAATATAATTCGCAGGATCGATGTAAATTAATTACGGCCTCGCGCGTATCGAGCTTTTCGAATCGCAGACGCGTCGAGCGCCATTCCTAATTTCGAGGTCTCCGTATCATCGCGTACGTAACGAAATAGAAATAGTCCGAGTGGCGAGTCGAGAGAGAGAGAGAGAGAGGCCTAGCGAGGCGACGAGCGAGCAAAGTTTTAATCCGAGGATCGGGAATCTGGGAGACGAGCTCGAGACGATTCCATTAAAAAAAGGAGGGGGAGGAGGAAACTCGGAGGACTAGGAGAAAGATCGCGGGAGACGGCGTAAAAAGAAAGGGGCGAAATTCGAGCGGAGCTAATTCGGCGGGCGCGTGTTTCGTCATGCTCGCCAACTCGATTTAGCTCGTAGATTGAATCACGCGGACCGAAAAGAACGAATACTAATTTCTTTACGAGACGAGTCGAGAGATTCGTCGAGAAATCCCTCTTTCTCGGTGAGACATCTCGCCTCTTCACCCCTTCTTATTTTTTTCCTTTCCTCTCTTTCATCTCTTTCGCCTTCCAATCGTCCCTTCGGCCCTACTACGAAACTACTACTACTACTACCACCACCTATCCGCCAATTTCTTTTTTTTCCTCCCCTACCTCGCCTCCCGTCCAACCCGGAGGCTAAGGGTTCAAATTGTTTTTTCTCTTTCTCTCCCCCCTTCTCCCTCCCACAATTACCAACAACGAAACACTCTCGAGTTTTCTTCCTTTTTCTCCGCGGATAAAAGTTGCAACGAGGAGAACGCAACCTTTCCGGATGACTCGTTAAGAAACTTTTTCCCCCTTCCGCGAATAACGACTATCGTATCGTTCGCGTACTAATTATCATTTTTTCGATCGCCACGTATAAAAAAAAAAAGATTCGAAAGACAAGGAAAGAAAGGATGGTAGGAAGGAAGGAAGGAAGGAAGGAAGGAAAAATCGATGAATCGTTGGCGAGGATCTCGTCTAGTCGAACGCGGTATATCGCGGTAAGTGGACAAACTGCGTCTCTTTCTTTTTCACGAGAAAAGGTAGACACGCGCTACAACGTCTCTTTCCTCCTCCCCCTTCTTTCCACCACTCCCCGGGGAGACCTTGCCAACAATACGTGTAATAGAATTGTTCGTCCAAGCTTCTCGAGTTACGGCGACGCGATGGAAAAAAATAGAAATGGTTTGAAAGCCGCCGTTACCTTTCTTCTTCCGGTTTGTTCACCCTCGTTTACCGCCGCTCTCGCGACGCTCGAAAAAATAACGTAAATTACCGCGTGCCCCGATGCGAAGAAACGAAAAAAGGAGGGGGGAGGGGGGAAAAGAAAAAAGAAACGAGAAGAAAAGGGGCGCGTGGAAAAGGATAATGGGCGAAGGTTGGCGTTCGACCCGCTGGATTTTCCAGAGACGAACGTGGCGGAAATTCGAGACGGATGCGGCGAAATTTGCAGGCTTGTTAACGGAATAAAGAGCGCGGCGGAGGAATTTTTTTTCGAATCCTCGATTCGATCTCTCCTCCATCGGTCGCGCCTCCTCGCTTCCGTTACTTTACGCTCCCCTCCCTCCCGTGCGAAGGTAACACGTAAGTGGTGGCGGATACACGTGCCCGTGCAAACGTGATTACGGGCCGACGACTGAAAATCGCAGGAAATGAAAAGAGAGGGAGGGAGGGAGGGAGGAGGAGGAAAACTCTGGCAGATATGGCGGCCACGGAAAACGTTCGCAATTTAAATCAAAGGTAGAGCGCCGCGTCGGAAACGGGTGCACAGCCGGCGGACGTTACGCGGTAATAACGGCTATCAGTCAGTGAAATGACGCTCATCATATTTTCATTAGAATAATGGTCGAACGATGAAAGAGGCGGAGAATCGTGTGCCGTGTGGAAAACGCGCGGCGGCGCACGGATCCGGCCCGGAACAGGAAATCAAAAGAACGAGCCCC